AGGTTGAATGGAATCTAGATAGGATCTAGGATGGGAAGAGGCTGGGGGCTATCAGAAGGGAGGACTGGACTAGGTTAAGGGAAACAGAATTGGTAGATTGGGCGTAGGCTATAGTGACAGGCCAGTTGATAGGATTACAGCCTCAGGTGACCGCTAGAGTCTTCCTTGACCAAGTGGGAGAGTTGAAGGAGAGTCCCATAGGCAAATGGGACCCAAATTCTTGTTGGAGTGAGGGGCAAAGGTCTCAGCTTGGGCCCGTACTCCATCATTTTCATCGCTGAAGCTGAGGAGTCAAGCCTCTTTTTGCCTTGGGATTTTAGCTCTAAAATTGGGAGAGACCTCCATGCCATCTAGACCACTTCTTTTATAGGTATGGACTTGCTCAATGTCCCATGGGTAGTACATATAAGAGGTGGGATTTGAATCTAGGCCCTGTGCTTTGAGAGTGAATACTTTTTTCACATACCTGTGTCTCTTAACAAGACATCTGTAGTAGTGTTTTGAGTGCCTATTTTATACAAAGACATACAAGGCACAAATACCTAAACATTTAGATTATAATTACAGATGGCTACTAAGAAAAGAGCCTTTTAGGTAAATATTATAGAATGTAAATAATTCTTAAAGAATTTTATACTTTCTTTCTGGTATGTGAAATATTTTACCAATATCAAGTAGATTTTCAAAAACTACTAAGCTAGATTCATGCCTGTTTATCTGAAAGTATTTTTTTCTGTTTGTTTTATTTCTATTCTGAAATTAAAACTGATTCTGGTTTGTATCATAGGTATAACTGATGTTTATTGAGTGCTTTTAAAGCTTATAAGTTGTCTCACTCTGTACCTTGTCATATATTGTCTTGTTTGAGCTTTATAACAATCCTATGAAGTATGTGTTGGAGGTATAATTCATTCCCCGTTTTACAGATGAGGAAACTGAGACTCCTAAAAGATAAGTAATTCACCACGAGTCACACAACTAGTAAATGGTAGGATTTAAACCCAAATTTTTCCTGACTTCAAGGCCAAAACTCTCTACATTATACAACACTGCTAAGAGGCCATAGTCAGACTTGAGGTTTTTCTGTTTGGTTTGGTTCTTCTTGGTTTCTGTTTGGTTTGACTAATGGGCCAAGTTCGAGAATGGTTTAAAAACGGGTAAGTTCCTATCCCCACCCAGCCTATCTGACTTTGAACTTTGGGACGGAATGTGTTAGGAAAATGAAAAATATTTCAGAATGCTGACTAAATAGGAAACTAACATTAGAATCCAGAGGAGTTCTTCCTAGGGATCACAATGAAGCCACATGAAATAATTTGCATGATAAATGACAGCCTTGTGACCTGCTACTGAAATCCACCTTCCTCCCCTGCCCATTTACTGCAGGTAATATGTACATGGATTTATTTTATTTTGTTAGCTTTTTTTTTTTTTTGCAAGGCAATTGGAGTTAGATTTATTTTATTTTATATTTTGTCTAGATGGTGGATGGGGTGGGATAGGGCAGAAAAGATGATGAAGGGCATGAGTAAAAGTCTTTTTTCCCCCCACAAAGTCATTTGACAAGTTAAAGTTACCTGCCAGGGCTGTGGTTACATGCCTTTCTTAGGAGTGGTGTTTCCTTGTAAGTGAATTGTTCAGCAATAAGGGACTTAACATGAAAGTTGGGTTTGGAACTAGATTGGCCTTAAGTTATTTCACTTCCAAGTTTAAATAAAAAGCAGTATGGTATAGTAGGAAAAGTACTAGATTGGAGTCTTCTGACAGGTTCAAAACTCCAGTCAACTCATCTTTGACCCAGGGTACCTACTCTGTGCCTCAGTTTCCTCCTCTGTAAAAACAAAAGCGGGGGGGGGGGATGGACTAGGTGATGTCTGAAGTCCTTTCTAACTCCCAAGCTACATCATCCTATATTACGCAAGCTGACTTGACAAAATTGAGAATTGTATCCTAATTTTGAAAGCCCTTTCAGCCAGCACTAAGATGGTTAGCCAGATGCCATACTTTTCAAGAATACCTTATGTATCTCCTGTATAGTACCCCTACCCTATTCTCTCTGCACACCTTTCCTAGTTAGTTAAATAATTTCTTTTTTTTTTTCCATTTATATACCTATAACTCACCCTTAATTGGATTCCACCCATTCTTAGAAAGTCATCTTACAAAGATGACTGTAAAGAGACACTTAAACCACCTTGGCTCAGCAGGCATTTAAAATACCGAGAACTAAATAATGTACCTATTTTATTGAATTACTGTTTTGGAACTTATGTAAAGTTCAGCTATTGTTTTGAGTACATTTGATAATTTTTCATATGGAAAATGCATTTACATATTACATGCATATACACAGTCTTTTTTTTTTTTTTTTTTTTTTTTTGGTGAGGGCAATTGTGGTTAAGTGACTTGCCCAGAGTCACACAGCTAGTGAGTGTTATGTGTCTGAGGCCAGATTTGAACTCAGGTCCACCTGGCTCCAGGGCTGGTACTCTATCCACTGCACCACCTAGATGCCCACACACACACAGTCTTACAACTTTATTAAATTAGACCAAACTTTCAAACCTGTAGAGGTAGCCAAGTGGTGCACTAGATAGAGTGCTCGGCCTGGGCATCAGGAGGACTCATCTTCTGACTTCAAATGTGGCCTCAGACATTTAATAGTTGTGTAACTCTAGTCAAGTCACTTAACCCTGTTTGCCTCTGTTTTCTCATGTGTAAAATGAGTTGGAGATGGAAATGGCAAATTACTCCAATGTCTTTGCCAAGGAAATCCAAGTGGGATCACAAAGAGTTGGACATGACTAAAAAAACGACTGAACAACATCAATCACACCTATTTCTCTTAAATTTTTTTTTTCTAGATTTATAGTTTCATTTTGCCCAGGGTCATGCAGCCAGTGTGTTTGTCAGAGGTAGAACTTTCCTTTTCTTTTCTTTTCTTTTCTTTTCTTTTTTTTTTTGGTGAGGCAGTCAGGGTTAGGTGACTTGTCCAGGTAGGTTGTGTCAACTTTCTGAGGCTGGACTTGAACTCAGGTCCTCCTAAATTCAGGGTCAGTGTTCTATCCCCTGTATCCCACCTAACTGCCCCCAGAGGGCTGCTTGAATTCAGTTGGCCTTGACTTAAGGCCTGCTCTTAAATGTCCTAAGTCATTTAGAAAAATATTTTTGGTCAGTATTTCATTGACAGCGTCTGCCTGTCTGAGAACCAGCTTAGGTAAATATAGAGATCGTTACCAGCAGATTGGCTTCTAGGTGATGAATTCTTTGGCCATGACAACCCATGAAAGAGAAGAATGCAGAATAGTCCTCAGCCTTGCATATCCTTTTTCTGCTTCCACCATGATGGTGCCTGAATGATAGAAATTGGTTTTGGGGATGTTATGAAGCTAACAGACTGTCTAGAAATGTTTAATTAACTACTGATCGTTTAAATGTGAGCCCTTTGTCTAGAGATCTACGTGAAGATAGACTATTGGAGGAAATGAACCACATGAATAACCGTATCAGACATGTATGCTACAAATGAAGCTGTTAAGACAAGGAAACTTTAGGCAAATGGGAGATATATCATGGAGAGGCAAATAAAGTAGATAGTAGAGTAGGTTCGATCATGCACCTAAAGATGATATTAAAAAAAAATTTCATGACATACTTTGGTTATCTCACCTTGGAAATCTCATCATTTACATAAGTGGAAAGATTGCCATAAAGACTTATACAACTTATGTGCTAAAAATCTTTTGCAAAAGATGAAGTGGCAAACTTCTAGAAAGAACTTGACAAAATTCTCCAAATTAAGGCAACATCTGCCTTGATAGTAGGTGACTTTAATGTGAAAATAGACACAGGAGAGGACAGTAAAAAAAAAAAAAGGTATATTACTAAATAGTATGTTGCTATTACTATGTTACATACTAAAAAGTATATTACTAAATTTAAGATTCCAAAAAAAGAAATGAAAACATCCCCAAAGGCTTATAAGTTTATCTGATTATCTCAGATTTTCCTGCGTAAAATATTTTTATCATTGTCTTCATTATCAACCATGTGTTTCAGGGAAACCAACAGCATTTTGTTTTCTCAATTCAGCAGAGTCATTCTCTTAATTATATGGAAACTTTCACGGTTCTGTAAATTTACAAAATCATAGTAGCTGTTAATTCATTATTCTAAAGTTACCAGGGTCCCCAACCTTGAAAATATAGTATAGTTAAAAGCACAAGGAGAATTTGGTTTGAGTGTTTGGAAACTTTCAGTATTACTGTAAAGAAAATAACTGTATAGCCAGAAGATTAGCTACAGATTAGCAAACTTTGAGGTCCTTACCTCAATACTCTGATATTAGCATTTTTTTCTGTAGGCTCCTAAAAGGTAATTCTGATAAGGATTATCAAGTTTGCCTTGACAGTCAACTTCCTAGCATATTTAAAGCAATTCCAGAACATATGTAAGATACGAGATTATTATTCTTTGCATGACCAATTGTTGGAGCAGGCTAGTTTAGAGCATATCTGCCCAAACTGTTCTTCTACTAGAAGGTATAATTCTTAACACTCATTGTTTTCACTATGTGATAGTATTGAGTGGAACAAGAAAAAATGTGTATTAGAGAGCAGGACTTCAGAGTATTATTCAGGGTTTTAGAAAGGGTGATTACCCAGGAGATATTTTAGTCATAAAATTTTACCTAGTCTTTATACATTTTCATAATATGAAAACCAATAGGCATTCTGTCACAGTATAAATAAATGGAGACTCCTGACTTTGAGCAAAGTAGTCTCTGCTTCTCAGACCACCATATTCCCCTGCCATTTTCTTTAACCAATTTATTGAAAGAGTAAGAGTGCACACACTTGACACTTACTAGCTGTGTGACCCTGGGCAAGTCACTTAACCCCAGTTGCCTAAATTAAAAAAAAAAAAAAAAGAGTGCACAGAGACCAGTTTGAAGGAATGTTAACTTATCTTTCTTTTCTCATCTCCTTTATTTCAAATAGGTGGAATACATGTTGGTAGCTTTTGATCACCAAAATAAAAAAGTACGCGTGGTCCTAAAAGGAGAGGAAGTCCTTGAAGCATTACAAGAAAAAGGGGAAAGAAAAAACCCAAAGTAAGCAGTATATACAATCGACTTTCTTAATCCTTACTATTACAGTCCTGCACTTGGCATTGAGCTCAACACATTTGACTAATAATTTACTTTAGGCCATATTCTTTTTTTTTTTTCTTAATGGATACCATTGTATAGCACAGAGCTTGATTTCTGAGGACTGCTGATAAAACATACTTCCCTCTGATGCAATCAGGCAGTAGTATGTAGGTGTAAAATGAGGCATATATTGTCATAACTGTTAAAAATGTGTTGGTTTATTTTGTTTACTTTGTTAAAAGGGAGGGTAACTTTGCAGAGAGAAATAGTCACTGAGGAGCAACAGTTCTTATGGGAGAAGTACTTCCTTTTTGACTTCATGTGGTAGGTTACTACTGCTGAATAAACCTATTACAAAACAGAAATTATAAAGGTAAAAATTTAGGATTTAATTCAGGAGGTAGAAAAAAACAAACTCTGAGTCTAGATTGGAGTTTCTAACAAGCCTTTGTAGAGAAAATACCGCCAGAGAGAGAAATAATTCTTTTGCATGTTACAGTTTCATCTTTCTTTTAGGCTATACAAGTTAAAAACAAATTCATAATCACATGCGCTCTTCAGTGTCATTGAGGTTGAATAAACTAAGTTAGAACAAACTAGTAAACAGTTACAGATTTAAACACTGAATTTGCCAAAACAAACAAACAGCATTTACAGAACTATAGGGCTACATTTTAAAGAAGTCACAATTGGGCTAATTGGAGGGGAAAGAATTTGCATGTCACAAAGATAACTAAAAAGCTTAGAGTCAGGGAAATGTTGCCGCAAATAACTTTGGGAAGCTCAAACTCTCTTTTGGCTTCTTATCTGAGGAATGTCAAAGTCTTCCCCTCAGTACTTTATTTCATGAGTCACATTTTAGCCAGGTGAGGTTAATATTAACAAAAGACATCCTTCAGCTTACTAAACGTTGAAGGAAGAGTGGCATAATAAAAATTAATAAAAGGTAAGTAAAAAATTATCATCACAGTGATGTTAATCATATTTAGTGTTGAAGCTCCCTTTGTGTAATTGCTGTTCTGGTGTTGTGCATTTTTAGAGTTTTAATATTTCTGAATGAATAGTTTCAGACCCTTGCATAACTAAAAATTTGTGGAAAATAATAAACTCTATAAAGTTTTTTATGCTCTTTTCCTCTTGCGGCCTATAATCATCCACCAAAAATATTTCTGATAATAATCAAGTAGATTGTACCACAAGAATAAAAACTAAATAGTTTTTCTCCATCAATTAGCCATCCAACACTTTGGAGACCAGAATATGGAAGCTATATGATCGAAGGAACACCAGGACAGCCATATGGAGGAACAATGTCAGAATTTAACACAGTCGAAGACAACATGAGAAAACGTAGGCAGGAGGCTTCATCTCTTCTAAAAGAAAATGAGGCTCTGTGCACTATAACATCCTTTCCCAGGTAAGTTAGTTCATGGCGTAAGAGATCCTAAATGGCCATAAGTTAAAAATAAAGCCGTGGAATCATTTTAGAAAGTGGTTGCTTTTTTCATTGTGGAATCATAATACATTACAGTCACTCCTCACTTTGATCTGAAGTACATTTCTATAAACTCATAAAGCACACTGTTGTATAGTGGGTTGTATTTTCCCTTGGAATAATATAATAATTGGGGCTTCGGTTCTCTACTGAAAAATCTACATCAAACAAATTATAGGTGATATTCATAACATGTCATTAAAGCAAAGATACAGTATTGTAATATCTCTGTAATATCCTATAGAATGTAAGCTTCTTGAGATCAAGACTTTCATTTTTTACTTTTTATGTACAGTACCTGGCACACAGTAGTCACTTAATAAATGCTTTTTGAAGTGAATAATAATTTAAAATAATTTTTTGAATCAGACTTATGATGTCATGGGTGTAGGGAATTCTCAGTCAAGAAATTCCTTCTCACAGGTAGGCATCTGCTCAGGTACTTATTGTCTTGGCGAGTTGCCTAGGGAACTGAGAATTTAAGTGACTTCTTGCACAGGATCACATAGCCAAGATGTCAAGTGGGGCTTGAAAACATGATAAAACCAAACTCTAACATATTCTATTACATAATATTCCGTAACTTAGCTGTACATGTAATATACATTTTGATTATATAGTGGGCTTAAGTGTAAAGTATCAATACACAGAAAATACAACTCTACTCCACTGAATTGAGTTTTTTGAACTCTGCTAAGGAGAACAACCTGAGATTTTTCCAGATATTCATAGATGTAAAAGAATAATTAAGCAAGATTTTATTAAGTGCCTTTTGTGTGCAGTGCAGTACACTGAAGGCTAGAGATGCAAAAATGAAAATTTTTACATAGTCCTTGCCTTAAGGGAGCTTTTAGCCTGACACAAAGAATAAGTTGTTACTTGGAGAAGATCACAGAATATTAGTAGAGAAAAGCATAGCTACTTAATTCCTATCCTGCTGTCATTTTCTTTTATCCAGGAGAATAGCCTATACACTGAAAATTATAGAACAAATATGATTTAAAAGAACTGAATGAAGCCTAAGGCAGGTGATGAGAAAGTTTAAGAGATTTATTTTTTCCTGGCCCAGGCTAATTGCATCCTGGGCAACTGAAGGAATTAATGAGCGTGATGGCTAAACTGTCACTAGTAATCCTTGAAGAATAGTGTAGAATGATGGAGGGATCAGAAGTCAGAAGACAGGTGAGGAAAAGGGGTGGATTCTAAAAACTGTATCCACAGGGGCAGCTAGGTGGTGCAGTTGATAGAATACCGGCCCTGAAGTCAGGAGGACCTGAGTTCAAATCTGGCCTTAGACCAAACACTTGACACTAGCTGTGTGACCCTGGGCAAGTCACTTAACCCCAATTGCCTAAAAAAACAAACAACAAAAAAAAAACTGTAGCCTCACCTTAATTTCAAACCCAGATAATACAAGAATAACTTATTCATCAGTTAGTGAACTTTATAGAAATGAAGACAGTGATTATTAGAAGACTGCATGAGTTTACAAGTTCACAAGCCAGATCTCACTTCTTTTTTGTTAGGATTAATAGCTTGGTCCTCCACTGAGATCCTGCTTCTATGCTTTCTGGTATGAGAGTCACCCTAAGTTCTTGAAGGCTGTGCTGGTAGAACACAATTCCTGGTGGGTCTTGCCAAGGTGGAAAGTCTTCAAATATGTTAATCCTGTTGACCAAGGACCAGCCTAACTAAATTAGGAGAAAGTCATTAATAAAGATTTAGTCATGGCACCCATGAATTCCATCTTCAGAGGACTTAGGAAGGTTTGCAGTCTGCATTGATAAATAGCATACTAAGAAAGCATAGATATTTAAGGCACTAAATTAAATACCAGGTGGTATTTCAGAAAGGTATTTAACAGTATCACTATTCTCCTGGATAAGAGAAATACAGGTAAATTCATAGCTGATTGAATAACAAAATCCCCACATAGTGGTAATAAAGGGATAGATGACATTCTAAATATCAGATGAATAAATGAATCCTTGAGGAAGACCTCTTGTGATCAATCAACAAATATTAATTAAATGCCTGTTTAGAGCTAGACACTGAAGATAAAAAGACAAAATCAAAATAACTGCTGCCCTCAAGGAGTTTACTTTCTATTGGGGGACACAACAGATGCATATCAAAGCATATACAAAATATATAAACACAAGGTAAGTTTTGGGGAGAGGGCATTAGCATCGAGGGGTATGGGTAAATAAAACAAAGTATCCCTTCACAACCTGGCCCTCCCAACTTAACTTTCCAGAGTTATTTAACTCCATTCCTCTTCATTCACTCTATGATCTGGTAGTCTCTTATCTCCATACTTTTGCAATGACCTTCTCCCAATTCCTGGCATGAACAAAACAAGTAAGACTCTGGCTACTTTGATAGTCAGTCTTGACTATCCATTTAAAGATTTTGATCAGTGATTTGGATGAAGACAGTATTTTTTTTTTTTTGAAAGTATTTTTTTTTCCCCAAAATTTGCAGATTGTGTTTGAAGCGATAGGTAACAGGTTGGATGATAGAATCAGATCCCCAGAGAGCTTGTTGGGCAGGAATTGTGGTCTGAATTTAATAAAGATAATTTCCAAGACCTGTATTGAATTTTAAAAAAGAAATAAACTTTATAGGTACAGGATTAAACAGACTTGGTTTTATAGAAAAAGTCTGGGTTTTTTAATTTAGTTGTGTGACTACCCAAAGAGTTAATTTAGTTTTCAGTTTGAGATAGAATGTCCAAAACAATGAAGTAGGCAGACAACATATTGCATTTGGAATATTCTAATCAACTTTGGGGTGACACTTTAGGAGGGAGGCTTTCTACAAACTGGACTATAATTAAACAATGTTTTAGTTCTTTGAGAGTAGGAACTCTTTCTTTGTATCTCCAGTCCCTTGACAGAACAAGTGCTTAATAAATGCCTAGTGATTGATTGGTGAAAGATGTGAAACATGAAAAATAGTTGGAGAAAATGGAGATGTTTATCCTGTAGAACAGAAGGCTTATTAGTATACACCTGATAACTTCTTCAGGTATCTGAAGAGTTTTCTTTTCTACAGAATTCAGACCAAAGGGTAGAAATTAAGAAGGAAGAAGATTTTTGTTCCATATAAAAAAAGGTTTCGTAATAGAGCTATTCATCAATGGAACAGGCTGCTTTGTTCAGTAGTGACTAGGACTTAAGCATGGTAAGTATTCAACCAGTCTTGTTGACCGTATGTTAAGTAATATATAGAGGAAATTCTAGTATTGAGAAAGGAGTTAGATTAAGAGATTGCAATATAGTCTCTTTGAATTCTAAGGGTCTATAATTCTGTGCAATTGGACCTAAGATCTTAGTATATTAATTACAGCAAATATTAATTGAACATTTAATAGTTGTTTCCATCTTAAAATTTAGGACATTTTGCTCGTGGTTTGATAAGTAGTCCACATGCATCTGTCGGTTTCTTTCTCTGTTAATTTCTTTTCATTCCCCTCATCTCATTCTTTGTTCTGCCTTTGTTTACCAAAACAAAACTATTTAAGGAAGTTTCAGCAAATATTTCTTTTTCTCTGTGTAACTTCCCTGGAGCAAACAGACTTTCAGAGTCACCCCTTTGCAACTGAGTCATTACAAAGTAGGATTGTACATCCTTCCTTGAATAATAATGGGGATTCTCCCTCTAAAAAGACATTTTTGAAAGTCAAGGCCAACCCAGCCTTTCTCCCCTTTAGCCTGTTCTTGTACTTTCCCTTCATCCATTGGGCTGTTAACAAACAATAAAGAAATTTTCTGATATTGTTTTCACACCTAATTGGGAAGCCATGAAACAACTGGTGTGGACTTTTTTTTTTTTCTTTCAGGAACTTGGAAGCAGCTCTTACAGAATAGTAAAGTGAGAATGGAGTTTGAGTGTTAACCAAGAAGTAACCTCTAATCTCTGAAAGGTTAAACTCCATGAAATTTACATTATTAATAGTGACCATTTCAACATTTTATCATTTTTGGTGGTTATACAAAGACACTTCAAGTGGGTAAAATGAGATAGGGAAGACAGTCAGCAAGTATTTACTAAGCATTTGATATGTGCCAAACTCTGTGCTAGGCCATGGGGATAAAAGGAGAAAGAATGGAAGAATTCCTACTTTCAAGGAGATTTCTTTCTCATGCTGCCGAGTAATGGGAAATGTGGCACTGTAAGTTTAGAGTAGGGTCTCTTTGATTTCTTGATTTGGGGACATTTCAGTAATAGGATTAAGGTACTTGTTTTCCCTAAATGTCATCAGAAAGTTGCCATCTTGAAATGGAAGACCTAATTAAACTCTCAATGTAATGCTCCCCTCAAGAGTAGACCTCAAGCGTAGTGTTAAATAGACAACAAAAATGGCACACAGGAAAGTTAGTACCACCAGGGCAATGGAGAAAGTTGGGATGAAGGTTAAATTTCTTTGTTATCTTCCTATCCTTTCTAAGTCCCTCCCTTTTAACCATTTCCCCTTATGCATCATTATAATTATGCTGCCCTCTAGCTGTGCAAAAGCCCATATATACACCGCCTGAATCTGTGCCCACTCTGGAATTGCCTGTGTTTCAGAATTCTCATGGCTTCTGCCCTCCCATATAATCAAAGCTCTTAATTCTTTACAAGTTTATTCCTGCTAAGAAGAAAGGCGTTTCCTTTAGTTTGTTCATACTAAGATGTAAATGATCGATCAGTAAACATTTATTAAGCATCTATTATGTGCCAGACACTATGCTAAGTGCCAAGGATAGAAAAAGGAGCAAAAGACAGCCCTTGCCCTCAAGGAGTTTGCAAAATAATTGGGGAGATAACATGTAAATTAATGCATACAAAGCAAGTTATGTAGAACTTGGATGAGTAGGAAATGAAGAAAAGAGGAAAGGCACTGGAATTGAGAAGGATTCTTGAAGGCATCCTGTAAAAGATGGGATTTAGTCCCTTCTCTGAGCTTCAGTTTCCTCATCTAGAAGAAGTGGTGGAGGAGGATGGTTGGACTAAATAATCTCTAGGCCCTGTGCCAAGCACTTAACAATTGTGATCTCATTTGACCCAACAACCCTCTAGGGTAGATGATTCTAAATCCTAGGATCTACAGGCATCTTTTGTACTGCCAAACTTACCTCAGATACTCATTGCTTGTTCCTTAAAGGAAGCCAGGAAGGTGTAACCTTGGGATTATTTAGTTTTAGAAGAGGATCTTAAATGGATATGTAAATGAGGGATATCTTTTAGCTTCCTCCTCCATCCCCAGTTTTAAATGATAACTTTTCTTACTTTCTGTTGTGGTTGTGGTATAGTAGATAGTCAATAAGCATTCATTAAGTACCAACTTCAAGAATATGCCAAGTGTTCTGTGGGATGCCGGGGGGCAAGAGTGACTTCTACTTCTACTTAGGGGAGACATTCACAAATGTAGAATATGTTCCCCTCCAGAATGCACAGTGATTGGGAGGGCATTAAAATAGTGGGACCCAGGGGAGTGACAGTACTTCCAGGTATGAGGGCCACAACCTGTGTTGAAGCATAGAGGTAGGGGGACGAATGTCATCCAAGGATTAAGGAGCAGGTCTGTTTGGCAGGATTGCAGAGTGTGTGACTGTGTAAATAGAAGCCATCTATAATGAGCTTAGAAGGATAGACTGAAGCTTTAAATGCCAGACAGTAATTTGTATTTTAATTTGGCTAAAGACAACAAGAGAGCTATTGAGGCTTCATCTGTAGGTTAGCCCACTTTTTGATCGAATTATTTTTTTCTTTTCAAAGTTTAGCCTGGAATTCAGATGCTGTATGTGTTTAACTCTCCCCTCTCTTGTAGATTAGGCTGTCCTGGGTTTACGGTACCTGACTGCAAACCTACCCCAGTTGAAGGAGGTGCTTCAAAGTCCCTTTTCTTTCCAGATGAGGCAATAAACAAACATCCCAGATTCAGGTCTGTATTATCTTAGTGTTTGCATACAGTTTGATATTCCAGTACATCTGTGATCCCTCTTACCATTCACACCTTATCCTGTGTGTCTATCTTCTCCCATAAATCCCCCTCTTTGGGCTGGCCTTCCAGGTGTCTTCCAAATAACATTTTGGTGGAACCAGGGCGGCATACTGCATGCTGTCAACCAACCCCCTCACTCATTCTTGCTGTGTGACCAGTCTACCTCCTTTGAGCATATCTTTTACATCACTCCTTTTGTAAAGTTCATTATTGATAATATAGCCTATTTAATGTTCACCATCCATCTTTTCATTTTCTCTAGGTGACCTGTAACGTTGATTCTATGATGACTGGAATTCTTACATAGTCTTTAAAATTTCTGTGTATTTCTGGGTAATTTTCTCACATGGTCATAATAACAATACCTTGCATTTATATAGTGCTTTAAGGTTTGCAAAGTGCTTTACAGAGATTATTTCATTTGGTCTTCAAAACAACCGTATGAGGTAGGTACTATTATCATCCCCATTTTGAAGTTGAGGAAACTGAGGCTGAGTCACATGACTAGTAAGTATCTGAGGCAGGATTTGAACTCAAGTCTTCCTGACTCCAAGTCCCAAAGCTCTATGCACTGCACCACCTAACTGCCTTCTGTGAGCTTTAAATATTTTATTTATCTCATGGTTGGGGGGCGGGTGTACTACTTCATATAATCTTAGATTTAGAGCTGTAAAGGACTGTCAGATCCATCTCATTTCACAGAGGAGGAAACTGAGGCTCAAGAGAGGTTAATCTGTTTGCCCAGGATATAGGAATTCAAGACCCCCAAGGCCAGGGCTCTCTAGTCACTGTGCCATCTAGCTGCCCTGCTTCTTCTAAGAAGTCAGTCAGCACTCAAAATTTGAAATCATTTATTGAATTATGACCCCTCTCAAACTCTCTAGTTTCTTGTTGAGCTGTATGTAGGATAGTGAAGAAGAACATTGGGTGTAGAATCGAAAGACCTGGGTTTTAATCCTAGCCCTGTTCTTAACTACTGTAGGAGTTAGGACATGACTTCCCTCTCCATGCTTTAGGTTTCTCATCTGTAAGAAGTGAGGGTAGGGGAGGTGGGCTAAATAAGCACTTACTGTGTGCCAGGCACTGTGTTGAGCACCGTCCAGTGATTATCTCATTTGATCTTTCTAATAACCCTGTGAGGTAGATGCCCCTAAGTCCTAGCATCTGTAGGCATCTTTTGTACTGCTGCTCTTGCCTTAGATACTCATTCCTTGTTTTTTTCCCTCTTCTACCTTTTCTTTGAAGCGTGCTAAATACATACAGTAATGTCCAAGATGGGTACAGTCTTGGAAGCCAAGGAGGAGAAACTTGCAGGAAGGAGTAGTGGTCATCAGTTTCGGTGTTATAATGAGGTCAAGGATCATGAGGCTTGAAAAGGCTATTGGATCAGGGGATTAGGTGGTCACTCCCCTTTTGAAAGAGCAGGAGTGGATGAGGAAGAAAAGAAGGTTTAAAAGAACTGGCACGGAAGGGAAAGAGGATAGTGGTGTGAGCATGGTAGCTTGAGAATGTAGCAGAGTTGGAGAAAAGTGGCTTTGGTGACAATTTTCGGGGTGTTGTCCTTCTGGGAAAGGATTAAAGGTGAAAAGTCAGTGGAAAGAGATACGGAAGTAACCAAAGGGCAATGAGGGCAGAATGATTGCTGGAGTAAGGCTTTAGATAAGAGAAAACCAGGATAAAACAGGAGATCTTGTTAAGAGTCCCACCCTGAAAAAGGTGCTTCTCCTTTGCACAACTCAGACAGGAAAGAATGAATGAGGGGGAGTACAGGGCTACGTTACAGTGGAGCAGTGGACATGAGAGCTGACTGGATGATTATTGAGGATCCTCTCCTGAGAAATGAGGAAGGTAGAGGAGGGAGTGGGAGCTTGAGGATATGAAGAGAAGTATGAGACTAATAATAATAGCTCACATTTACGTAGAGCTTTAAGATTTGCCAAGTATTTTACGTAGAATGTCTCATATTTGATCCTGTGAAGTAAGTGCTCATTTTACAGATAAAGAAACTGAGGACAAGACAAGTTAGGGACTTTCTCAAGGTCCTACAGATAGTAAGTGTTTTGAGCCAGGATTTGAACCCAGGTCTTCCAGACTCCAGAGCTCCATCCACTGGGCAGTATTACCTCCTAAATAATTATCATTCGCTCAGGTGAAGTTCGATAGCATTTATTTGCTTCTCCAGTCTTAAGAGCATGATTTCCTAACTTTCTGCAGCAGTGCCCAGTAAATAGCACCAGATTGGAGAAAGTATCTTCCATATAAACTCATCTACATAGGGATACATTTGAATCTGAGAGTGGCCTGGTAACCTTGGAGTCGTTCCCATTGTCCCAGCAGGCAAAAGTACTCAGATACTCTTTAACGCCTCTCTGCTTGGTTGGTTTTTATTGTGTCCTTTTATACTTCCAAGCCATGATGTTAAGCCTCCATGAAAGGAACCTGTCTCTGATTTTTTTTCCTTACTGTGTAACTAAATTCCGGATCCAGGGCAACGTGTCCAGTAGAGTAAATTGGAGTCATCAATCTCAAAAACTTTGTGGGAGGAGAAAGGTTATTTCCTCCCCAGGAACCTGAACTTTTCCATCAGCAATTTCTTTTTGTTTGTTGATTCTGTGACTCAGTCTATAACCCTTCAGTTAGAGAACTCTTTCTGAGAGAAAGAAACAGAACCACAGAATTTCAGTATTGCTATTGAAAAAAATAGAAACGAGCTAACAGTGTCAGGCATGTGCTTAGGATTCCTAACACCTTACTCATCTTCTCTGGAATTCCTATCCTCCAAGAAGTTCTTGGTGCACCAGGGTGTTCATTATTGACTAACATGATAGCAAAGAGGACACCTGAGTCAGTTGGCAATATCTTGTTAGGATAAAGGGAGCCCATGTTGACTGAGATGCTTTGGACCCTGGTCTTCTTCATGAGAGGACAACTCTCTCATTTAAGTATTTTTGATACCATTTGCTCCCTTCCATGTTCTTTTCTGTGGCAAACAAAACCTGTATTGGAAGGGATCTCAAATCTTTAGGAACCCCGGCAGGTGGACATGTGTCCTTTGCTTTAAAAAGTCCTGTGAAGGAACCACCTCCTGAGGCAGCTGTAGCCCACTTTGGGACCTCTCTGATTGTTAATAATGTTTTTCCTGACATGAAGCCCAAGTTTGTCTCTCCATGACTTTTGTCTGTTGCTCCTGGTTCTGCCGAACAGAACAAGATAGCCCTTTAAATACTTGAAGACAGCCATCCTATCCTGAGTCCTGTCTTCAGTCTAAGCATCCCTGACTCTTGTCGTCTGGACATTCCCCAGCTTATCTTTTTCTTTCCTAAAACATGGCAACAGTTCAACGCTGTTCAACCATGTTGGAATACTAGTTTAGTTAGATTAAAAGCTGCGTTTTACCCTTTTTTAAAACCCCATCATGACCACCTGTGAAACATATACTTCTTTCTCTCTGTTTATCTAATGTTTGTTTTGTTTTTTTTTTTTTTACTTTTTAGTAGAAAGTTGAAAATCAATTTCTCTCCAACCCTTAACTTAGCCCAGGGGTGAGGGACCTGTGGTTTCAAGGACACGTGTGGCCCTCTAGGTCCTCAAGTGCTGCCCTTTGATTGAATCCAAGCTTCATAGAACAAATCCCCTTAAAAGGATTTGTTCTGTAAAACTTGGACTCAGTCAAAAGGCCACACCCAAGGACCTGGAAGGCCAGGTTCCCTACCCCTGACTTAGCCAAAAGCACAAATGAGTCAGGGGAAACAAATAAACTTGCACTGTGTTCTGTGGGTCAGATTCTAGATTTATAAGTGTAAGGGGACAGGTGTTATGGATGCATATTGCTTCCAGCAAAAAATGTACGTACAGTGCTTCATGACTAAAGGCTAGTCTATCTGAAGAATTTTAGCAGGATATTAATGCCCCTGTGTGGAGTTTTAGGAGTTAAGCAAACCTAACCAACTTCTGACTTAATCTGACAGTACATTCACTGTTCTGTACACGTGCTAGTGATGGGAAGAGGTGTGCTTTTCTCTTCTTCTGGTACAATGTAAGGACTGGTAGTTTTAAATTTGTCCTAATGTTTTACCTTCATGGTGAATTTGCCCAATTAAATGTTTTTCTTTTCATTTTAGTACCTTAACAAGGAATATCCGACATAGGAGAGGAGAAAAAGTTGTTATCAATGTACCAAGTGAGTGATAAGAGAGGGGTGTGTGTGGGTGTGGGTGTGGGTGTGTGTGGGTGTGTGTCTCTCTTTGTTGAGGAGGGCCAGGGAGAGATAGGGATGAATTAAGGGAAGAGTTTTTTCAATAGGTTCACTTATTTTTCTTAACTCTTGATTCTCAATTGTCTTCCTTTTTACATGCAGTCTTTAAGGACAAGAATACGCCGTTTCCATTTATAGAAACGTTTCCTCAGGATGATGAAGCTGTACAAGCCGCTCAGCCAAATCATATCTACATGGATGCTATGGGATTTGGGATGGGCAACTGCTGCCTTCAGGTATCGTTTCAAAAGTATCTGAAATATAACTGCACATGCCCATCTTGATTTGTTCGTATTTACTGACCTTCTGTTTTTCTTACTAAATGCTTTTAACCTTGTTTTCTTTTAAATGTCTACATTTTTGTCTGTGGATGAATCTGAAAAACTAGTGTGCCTTTCCATCAAGAAATTTCAAAATGTATTTTTGCCATTAAAAGGAATTTTTTTATTGCCTGAAATTTGTATAGAAACTGAAGTCAGCCACAGACTTAGCTAGTGAATTCTTAACCAAAATAACAAATAATCTACAACTTTCTCTTCTTTGCTATAAAAATCTCTTTTTTTCCCCTTTCCTGGACTCCTAAACCTTGTCTTTCATTGCTGTGGAGTTAGAAATTAGTTTCACACATTAAAAAGAACTTTGGATTTGGAATTGGGGGTCTTGAGTTCAAATTCTGGTTCTGCCACTTATTACCTATGTGACCTTGGTCAAGTCTCTTAACCTCTCAGGGCCTCAGTTACTTTATTTGTAAAAACGGGGAATTGAACTAAAAGAACTCTAACCTCCTTTCTTCTCCTAAATTTATGAACCTGGAGTCCGCCTGAAGCAGCAGTAGCCTTTCTTAGATATAGTTACAAATATATCTTAGGCCGTTCTTTGTCCATGCATTCCTTAAAGCCATGAAGCTGCCTTGCTCAGCTGAGTACTACTATGTGATGTGCATTTTTTTTTTCTAGTGGAAAAAAAATGTCCTGAAAAATTTATTTTGAAAGTGATTTTTCCCCCTTTGGACATATCACCATATCAGCCCTGGCTTTAAGTGCAGCAGTGACTTACAGGCTCAATCCCACTGTTGACTGGCCCGCTGTGTTTCTGACCTGAGTCAGTTCACCCTCTCCTTAGGCAGCCCGGTGGCCCCACTGCTCCTGGAGACTCACCATATTGGAGCTGGAATTAGTACCAACTAATCAACATTGGCCCTACTGCAGCTCAAGAACTCCTGAGCTCAAGCGATCCAGCTGCCTTAGGCTCCCCAGGGATTGCGTCAGCACCCCCAACTCGAAAATGAATTCTTACCAAAAACTCCAGCAGTGGTTTGCTTCCATATGGTTTCAAGACTTGCAGAGCTTTCTGAGACAAGGAGGAAAGGATCTGTGTGATTTGTGCCTAGAGAGTGGGACCCATAGAAATGTTAATTTCAAACCTCACAGTTTTATAGACTTATACTTTTAGGCAGGTTTATACACATGTACTAAAACTCTAGTAGCACTCCACCCACCCCCTACCCCTCATTATACTCTGAGCCACAATATGAATTATTATTGAACTTGAAGGGACCCAAGTATCTGGCTATTAAGGATCGTATCATATCCATGAACTTGATGTAGTGGATAGAGTGGCTTTACTTAGGTCAGGAAGGTATGGATTCAAATCCTGCCTCACTAGTTGTGTGACCCCAGGCAAGTCACTTACCCCGAGAAGGACTCAGTTTCCCCAGCTGTTAAATGATGGTTGTAGACTTGACCTCTGAGGTCCTTTCCAGATCTGAATCTGTAATGCTATCTTAGCACTTAAGAAGCACCATCATATTTAGTTCAAAGAACATTGAAGATCTGAGTTCTTGACCTGGATTTGCCGTTGATCATTTGTGTGACTTTGGGCAAGTCACTGTAACACTCTGGGCTTCAGTTTCCTCATCTGTAAAACTGAACTAAATCTCCAAAGTGTCTTCCAGCTCTTAAATTTTATGAGTGTAAGTGATATTCATTTTGTATTACCAGGAATACTTGTTCAACCCCTTAATGGTCTGAACTATATCCAAAAGATTAAAGTGAGAGTAAATTTTGCCCAGGTTGTTTTTTTTTTTTTTCTTTTTGGTCAGATATTGGAGGTTGAATGAAATTGGTCCGGTGAGTAAGGAATCGTCCCTCAGGCTGTCTTTGTCCAGTCCTAGTCATTTTTGCTGGGTAGAAATGTATGTCTGGAAACGTGGTGATGCTGCCTCTTCATCACCCCAACCCCTCATTGCCTCCCAAAAAAAAAAGAAAGACTGTTACAGTCCCTCTAATCCCACACTACCTGTCTCTCCCCTCCCTGGAGCTGCCAAATAACCCACTGGCAACACATAAGCCTATCACTTATGCCCTTGAATATGTGACTTGGTTTTCTATTTAAAAACAATTCTAATCTACTAAATGTATAAGAAATGTCTTCACTATCAGGATTTTTTCCTCTGCCCAGGATTTTTCTCTTTGAAGAGATTGGTTGGGCATGGGGAGATAGTTTGAGAATCATACTGGACTAAATGACTGATCTAGGCACATTATTTGTGAGGCTTCCCAAACACAAAACAGTGGTGAGTAAATTGCCTTATTAGTAAGTACTTGCTTCAGAAAATAGGACCTTTTTAAGACAAGAGAATTAGAATTTCAATTGTATATCTAAATTTTTGTACCTTGGTTCCAAAGACTTAGAGAACAGTTAAGCCCTTGAGCATACTGGTTTTAAAAGTAATTCCATGATATTGACAAAGATCTCATTGCTGTTTCTCTGTTTACCATTAACTATTCCAAGGCCTTTGGCCAGTGGCAACAGAGTTTGGCCTTCTAAAGGGAAGAATAGAAGTCCAAAGAAAATGCAAATAAGCTTGCTCTAATTATAATGGAGAAACATTTTGCTACTTACAGGGGAACAATTTTTCCATTCAGCTTAAACTTTAACATGGACTTACAACTAATTGTTTCTCTCAGCCTTCTTCCCTTCTGCAAATATTCCCACAAAAAAAATGTTTGTTAGTCATAGTTAATGTGTAGACTATGAAAGAAGAAAATAAAAGCAGAAACCTGTAGTCACATCTCAAGAAGTGAAATATTTGTCATTTCTTAGTAAGGCTTGAGGAGAGTTAAGTCACTCGCCTTACTTTGATTTAGTGCAGGGATTCATAACTTTTTTTATATTGTAGACCTCTCTGACAGTTACTAGTGAAGCCTACAGACCGTTTCTCACAATAATGTTTTTAAATCTTAAAATAGGTAGGATTACAAAGGGAACCAATTACAGAATGTCTCAGAGGTCAAGCTTTAGTAGCTAAAAACAGAACTGAAGTGTTTTTTTTAAGTCATCCTGTGTATTGAAAGAGTTATCAAAATATTTAAAAAAGAAAAAGTTAACAAACACCCCCCATGTTAAGAATGACAACCTCCTCCCCCCCTCCCCGATTAAAGGTATCCCTGGAAGCTGGCACATGATGGTGGGCACTTAATACTTCTTGAATTGAATTACACAAAAGATATCTTGACTACATAGCAATTCTTGACTAATTCTGAGCCTTTGAAGAAAAATCATTTGCCACAGTATATGTTAATGAGCAGTGCATTGCCAAGTTATGGAAAGGCTTTTTAATGATAGATTTTCTTTCTAGGAAAACAGCTAAAATGTTACATATGTTTTCAGGTTTTCAAAAAAATTAAATTTTGGAGCAAAAAACACAAAGCCCCTGACTTTTATTTCCTCTTGCCCTCCATCTTTCCCACATCTCTCTTTCTCGGTGACTGTGTTCGTCTTCTTGCCTATTGCTGTTCTTTTAAAAGCATCAGCAATGTCCAAAGCTGTTCTGACCTTCTTAAGGTGCAGAAACTTTTTTTTCTTCCCCCACCAATGACATGGTCAGTAGTGATGCTTCCGCATGTCCTGGATTGGTGGTCTCTGCACCAGCACTAGAGTAAGGAGTCCACTTATTGTTGGGTAGAGGAAAGGTAAATATGCCACTTTTCAGTGTTGACTTGCCCTCAACTTATTTTATATAAGAAACACTCTTAAGAATTTGAAATCCCAAATGAAACTGAGCTGCTTATATTCATAAGCCTTCTCCTCCAGTGTTGGTAGATGGCGTGTACATGAGTATTGACCTGTAACAGCTGTCTAGCATATGCAGGCTTATTGAAGGATACAGTTTTTTTCTAAACCATAAAATGATTTGGTTAATAAAATTCATGTAGGGAAATACTGACTGTACAAACTACTTTATTATACCAGAGATCATCTTTTGCTCTTACCTTTTTGCAGAATTTTGTGTTATTTCTAAGGAATTACTGTCAATTAATATCTAATTTCCTTTTTATAACTGTTAGTAATTGTCAGCAAGTGTTTGGAGTCAATAATTAAGAGCTAGAGTTTTGCTTTTTAGGACTTGTTTACCTCTCCAGATATGCATGCGTCCTGTGTCTGTGTGTAAATTTGTGTTCATTTTGTCGTCATTTAACTTTTATTATAGAAACTGGAAGTAGTGGGGCTTGAGGGTAAGTAGAAGATTTGTAAGTGTGTGAGACGTAGTGTCTTTTTCATTTCGTTTTCTCTTGAGATTATTATTATAACCATCCAGACAATTTCTTTAAATTGTCATTTAACCTCTGGAGACAGAAATGTAGTAAGAGAGGAAAAGATTCACTAGCATGCTCTGTTGATCCCTTGTAAAAGCAAATCTTAGAAGGGGAGAGGCAGGAAAATCTTTCTATTATTCTGAGTAAAAAGTTAAATGTAACTAGTTTAACTGGGTGTTATGCTGAAAGTGAGAGAAGTATATGAGTGGGTGGAAGAGCAAAGTAGGTAGTACTTTATGAAATCTTATGAAAAAAGCTAACAAATAATATTGACAAGCAGGAATAGGAGAATTAGTGACTTAATATTTGCTAATCACTAGGAAAGAAGCATAACCGTGTAATTTTCACCCTCATCATCATATTCGCCATTAGGGCTCAACAGCTGCCAGTACTGTTGCAATTCTGATAGTAGATGGAGGTTTGGGGAATTTGGGACGGTATATATAACTGGGGGGAAGTATGGGGAAGGGAGGGTGTTAGATCATAATTATCTAAGCCTCCTTGCTACTCAAATTCCTTGGTAAATTGTCAGAGTTCTACTTTGTTATCTAAGAACCTGTGTTCTCTTTCCTTCTCCTCTCAACTGCTCTCATTAAAAAAATTAACACCAACTGTTGGCATGATTTTGTGCTGGGGTG